CTGCGAATATAATAATACCAATGTATGATTTATTGTTACTCTACTACTAGCCAATTTTGACTGTTTATTTCTTACTTTTTTCTGTTTAAACTATTTTTTAAACTATATAGTGAGACTCTGGATGAAAAACAAATCAAAGAAACTCTCCTGTCCTTACATAAAGAACACAATCAATAATAATGATAATAATAATAATAATATGTTGTATATTGTATATTTTAAAATAGCCTAAAGGGGCTGGAGAGACAGCTCAGCACTCTAAGCATCTGCCTGGAAAGTGCAAGGACCTGGGTTTCATCCTGGGTATCACATGCCATGCTGGCCACTGAGACTGGGAGTGGTGGCACACCCCTGTAATCTCAGCACTGGGGACGCTGAGACAGGAGGATCGCTATGAGTCTGAGCTGTGTAGCGAGACCCTGTACCAAATAAATAAATGCATTAATCAAAATATTTTTTAAAAATAAAAATAGCCATAAGAGGTTTTGAATATTACTCCAAAACTGTTAAATATTTGAGGTGATGAATATGAATTTTTAAAACATTATCTCATCCTAGTTAAAAAAAACCTGCCACAAAGTGATTGCAAAAAACAAGTTATATAAAATGTCTTAAATATCATTGTTACAACTTTGCAAAAATATCTCTTTATAGAATAAGTGCTTGCCTGGCAAGCGCAAGGGCCTGAGTTCAATTCCTGGTTCCACACAAAAAAAAAATCTCTTTAATAAATGAGGTTTCTTTAATGAATATAATGTCTCATTCAATAAAATTATTATAATATTCATATATAAAATGTAACTTCCATCCAGAAAAGATGTTTGAACACATTTTTAGAAATTGAATTTCCTCCTAACTTACTGTGATGACTAATTCTCTGTAAGCTGAGGGGGCTTGGAGGGTCAGGCCACACCGATTCTGGTGTGTCATGTCTGTGAAGATGTTTCCAGGTGAGATTTGGTATGAACTGGCAGACTCGGTGCATCACCCTCTCCAGTGTAGGTGGCCTTGTCAAATGGCTGAGGGCCTGAAAAGGGCAAGGGCAAAATGCAGCGAAAAAATTCACACACACACACACACACACACACACACACACGCATGCACAATCTCTTCCCTATCTCCCCTCACCGTCTAAGCTAGAACAACTCATCTGTCTCATCTCTTCAAGGGACCAGCAGCTTGCCCTGGTTCTCCAGCTTGCAGGCTTGGAACTGAATGACATCACACACTTCCCTGGGTCTCCAGGTTACAGATGGCAGATCCCTGTACTATGCGGCCTCCAGCATGTCCGTCACCTCCTCATAACCATTTTTGTAAATATATCCAATTGGTTCTATTTCTCTGAAGAATCCTCATACTGTTGGATGTACTATTTTCCATGGTCCAAGAAAAAGATAAAGGGTCTATAATAAGAGATTTTCATGGAATGCAGGAGTTTTCCTACACTCTAGTACTGAAGGGACAAATAATAAATCAGACTTATAAGTGGCCTATTTCATGTTTCTACCTGGATCTAAAAACCCCTCAAAGATTAACTTCTTAAATGATGATGTCACTCTCAAGATTGCAATTCCCCAGGGGCATGGGGAGTCTAAGTTTTATATTAGCACAGGAACTTTGAAAACAAAAACATAATTTTAATTATTTAAAATTCATTGCCTGTAATACTTGATTAAAATGGAAAAAAGAAATCTGATATAATAAACTGAAAATACTGAATCATCCACCTATAATTAAATCACCAATCATGAAAATATTCCTCTGCTTCTCCTTTTCTTTTTTAGTGTATTTGGCACAGGGTCTTACTACACAGCTCAGACTTGTGGTGATCCTCCTGTTTTCAACCTCTCCAGAGCTGGGATTGTAGGCATTCAGCACCGTTCTTGGGGTGGGGGGCAACGTGTGGTGCTGGGGATTGAGCCCCTGTCCCTGCGCTTGCCTAAGCAGGCACTTAGTCTGCTGAGCTATCTCGCCAGTCCTGCTTCTCCTTTTCTAATTCAACATAAGACAAGTAAAAGTAAAACTAGATAAAATACACATAAATATGAACACAAACACACTCAAGCAAACATACTGATAACAGAAAATTGCCGGGGATTCTTCCCTTTTTTAATCTTTTCAAAAAGTGCATTGAACTGTGAACTTAACCTAAAGATTAATTTATTTAGCCCCTTTGGGTATAGCTTGTGAAAATTCTTGCCCTATGTTCATGCAAGAAGCAAACTGAAAATTATTTAAGAAAAAATCTGTCTCTAGTGTGGCTCAGAGGTAGCTAAATGATCACACTGAACTGTCATCCTTCAAACCTATTACTCATCCTTTTCTCTTTAACTACAGGTGAATTCACTGTAGATATCTGCAGAGCTCCAATTACCACTTAGAAACAAAGCATGGTTAATTTTTCTGAGTCAGATAATGATTGTAGGGATCCTTGTGCTAGGATAGCTCTATGTCGTGTCTGGTCATGTGCAACTGCACATGCAGTAAGACTGCGTAGAACTTCCATGCCTGATTATTTTGCTTAACATCATGATCTTGAGGTGGATCCATTTTGCTGAAGGTGCCTCAAGTTTCTCCTTCTTTATGGCAAGGAGATATTCACATTTTCTTTATCTGTTCATCTGTTGATTAGCATACAAGCTGTTTCTAAGACTTAACTATTATAAATTGTGCTGCTATAACCATGGGTGAGTACATTTCCCTATATTATAACTTAAGCTCCTTCAGAAATATACCTAGAAAGTGAATAGTTGGGCCATCAAATTATTTCTCTTAGGTGAGCAAACCAAAGAATAATAAAGAGCAAAATAGAGTGTAAATATTAGAAAGTAGAAAAAAAATTCCAAATAAAAAAGGGAACAAGAGACGGTGAGGTGAATGGGTTGAAAGAATAAAAAAATGGAAATACAGCTTTGGCAAATGGAGAGGGGAAGAAGGGCTGGAGGGGTAAAGGGACAAAATAAAAGAATGAAGATGTGTTACACACATGTATAAATTCACTGGGATGAAGGTGGTCATTATGTACTGCCAGCATAATAAAAAAATTGCATAGAACTATATACATATACATACACAAATGAGTCTGTAAAACCTGTAGAATCTGGATTAGGTAGGTGGATTATATCAATGTCAATTTCCTGGTTGTGATATTGTACTATAGCTATGAAATATGTTACTATGGAACCAACTGACTGAAAGATATTCAGTGTATATAAACCTTGGTAAAATTTTTATATTTCTTGTGCAGGACTTGGACAGTTCCTATGTTCATTTCTAGTTATTTTTAAATTGCCGTTAGTGATAGAATATTTTTTTGTATTTTCTAAATAATTAATTTTTTTTTTGGCGGTACTGGGGATTGAACTCAGGACTTTGTGCTTGCCAGGCTGGCGCTTACCCCACTGAGCTATATCCCCACCCCCTAATAATTACTTTCCACATGAACGTATTATACTTTTCTTTTAATATCAATCCTGATCATATAATTGATATTCTATTACTATTAATGGTTTCTAGTAAATTCTTAATAGCTGTTTCATAAAAATACTAGATATCTACAAATAACAAATCAGTAGAACAAAGCCTAAAGCTGTCATGAGGTATTTGTATTAACAAAAAGCTAGAATTAACTTTTCATGATTTGCAGTGTAAATAAGATGGGTTTACTTTGTGATAGCTTCTCTTCCTCCCCTTAACATATGGCTAACTTGAAGTTACTAGTTGTTACAGTTTTTGTCTAGATGTCCCCTCAAAGCCTCATGGAGTCACAGAGCATTTTCAAAGGTGACTGAGTCTAGAGTATGTGATTGATTCATAGTGCAATAATGCTGGCGTTAAGGTTGGGTAATTGTTGGATCAGTCCACTAATTGGATGGGCATCACCCCAATCCTGGTAGACTGAAAACAATGTAAGGAACAGAAAGAAACTTGTCCTCCAGTCTCTCTTGTTGCTTTTCTGTCTTCACCACCATGAACTGCTGCCCTCCCATGGCCACTGTACCCTGGAGCCAGCTGACTATAGAGTGAAACCTCTACAAACTGTGAGCTAAATAACCCTTTCTGCCCTTAACTTTGGGGTTCAAGTATTTCCTCTGTGCGTGAGAAAAGTAATTGAGACAGTCTTGTATACGATCAAATATAATTAGTAAGTGACTTTCCTCATTTGGCTAATAAATGAGAACTTTGCCTATATACTTTAGTTAAAATTTGATTTTTTTTAAACGTATGTAATAAAATATCCCATCTTAAGTCTTCTATTTTTTCCCTATTCATTGTTATACTATCAGTTTGGAATATTGGAATGACTGCTCAGTATGGTGATGTCAACATACATTGTGAAAGGGTCGGCCGAATACTTCAGCGGATTAAAGCGCTTGCAAGCAGGCACAGGAGCCAGGGATTCGATAGCCCCACCTGCCATGCAGGCCCTACCCCCAGGGCATGTTGAGATGGCAACTGAGACTGGGCATGGTGGCATGAGCCTGTAATCCCAGTTCTTGGGAGGCTGTAAACAGGTGGATCACTATGAGTCCGATCTAGTCGTGAGACCCTGAACACCCTGTAGACACTTCCCTAAAAATACAAAAAAAAAAAAAAAAAAACCCATATATTGTGTTCTCCTAGCACAGCTACAATGTCAGTGAATAATAAACAATGCTGTTTCATTTTATTTAATAATAAAAGAATCTGCATTACTCTGTGCATCCAACGCAAACTGTCTAGTCCATTTTTCTTTTATTTTTTATTTTAAGTATTGTATAATTTTAATACTGAAGTCATATTGTAAATCTCCAACTTCTTATAATGAAGGATACTCTTATCTGTTGTCTCTCACTCTTGGCAGATTTTGGTCTCAACAATAAATTCGTTGGGGAAGTGTCTAATCTTCCATCATTTATCAATGGCATGCTCATTGAAACCTAGCAAGAGGTCTCTGCAACGAAGGCAGAGGATTTTCTGTTCTTGCAAAGTTGATAAATAAAGGTGCCTAGATTACTAACATCATGAATTTCTTCAACAGCATCCAGGTCTTCACAAACCACAGAGGTATGAAGCAAGGATTTACCCTTGCAAGACTGCCAAAGAGCTCTACCAGATTCTTTGCAGGCATACCAATGGAGGCATCCAAGGGCATCAGATAGCAGGTCCCCAGGAGCATGTCTAGGTAAGCAGTCATTCCCTCTTCAAAGACAAAACATACACTCTATGAAAGATGGCCTCTTTAGCAAATGATGCTGGGAAAACTGGCCATCAATATGCAGAAGATCCTACCAATTTGATTTGAAACTGTCTCATTGCTATTTGTTTATCAATAAAATTATGGGGAAAAAAGAAAATAATCAAAATATCTTGTATACTTATACCAATACATCATAAGGAATGTGATTGTTCTGTACTACTGATATGAACTAATAAAAATAAATTATGCTTTTCTCATTGAAAAAAAAAAGTATGCAGAAGATCAAATCTAGACCCATATCTCCCCCATGGACTCATCTAAAATCAAAAATGCACCAAAGATTTAAATATTAAAACAGAAACACAATCTGCTGAAAGATAAAATAAGTAAAACTTTTAAAGTCATAAATATAGGCAAAGATGAAAAGAAACTTAATTGCACAAGAAATAATACCAAAAATCAACAAATGAGTTCTTTTTTTTTTTTTTTTTTTTTTTTTTTTTTTT